TTTTCCCCACCAGCCGGGGCTTCTTCGACTGCTGCACCGTGACGAGACCCATGGATTTTAACGTGATTCTAATAGTGTAAGGGTGCACAGTCGACCGTGATATGTTACCCTAAGTTTCGCGGCGGATGCGCTAGTTTTCGCCACTCTGTTCATAATTTTACCCTACAACGGTACGACGAAGATGACCCATGAAAAGACACACCTCAGCTTGGCTAGTCTAAGCGATCACATTCAATCAGAAATCGTGCACAATACTCTTACATACGCTCAAATCCTTCGCGATTTTCCTAGTGCTCACCTCTTTTATGCAAAAGGGTGGGTCCAAGAAGAGTGTGAGAAGATCTCTGCAAAGGTTTGCACTAACCTCGTAGATAACATGCCTAGAAGGGTGCGTGTGGTGAGCAAGGCCAAGGGTCGGTGGAATAGGTAATAGAAACGCTGTTTAGAAGCTTGCGCTTTGTCCTGGGAAACAATTGTCCGGATGGACTCTTTGGATATCTTTTGACACTGAGTTAGATCCACTGTACTATTATGGATTATAGCACTATGAACACATCCACTATGTGCCACTCGCAAAGCGTACCACCATTAAACATTAAGACTTTATGTACAGTGGTCGGAATGCCCAAAAACCCTGGTTAACGCAAGACATCTGGACAATTGTTTCCGTCATTGTAAAAATAATAACAGGATAAACCAAAGGATAATGGAAAGGGAGGAAGAGGAAACCAAATGAGATGAGATAAAGACCAAATGAATCAGGATAAAAAAAAGGAATGAAATAGAAAATAAATATGGAAAGGGGAAATTGGTATAACGATATCGTACTCTCACACTTCCCCCCCTCAAAGCCGGGTGGTAGAAGTAACACATTGCTTGACAAGGAAGTCACGAAGAGGACGATGGGCGTTACCCATGTCGAATTCAGTGACGTAGCCTCAGAAGGATTATTACCCTTCCAGCAAAGAAGAAGCTTTAGAGTACCATTCTGATGACGACAGTTTCCGAGCACGTAGTTGTCCCATGTTGTGGACGAACACGGGCGACGACGGTGGTTGGCATTCGGTGTAGAGCATGTTTGGTCTTGATACGGTTTAAGATGCTAGTATGGAAGGCGTTATGGATCTTTCAAGTGGCTGGTTGGCTCAAGCGGAAGTTGACTGAAGTGACCTTTGCTTTAACGATGATAGACCCGCAGAAGCAAGGTTGAAGCTTGGATGGAGGATGGCTGATGTCACGATTATGGTGTGGATAACTGTAGTGAAGAGTGGCTATGTGCTTCTGCTGTTGTTGGATGTTCAAGAGGCGCTTGTGTGGCTGATCTTCGAGATGGTGGACGATGGCGATGAAATCGTAAGCAAGTTGGCCTGTAGCAAGAACTGTCTGTTGATACCGAGTGAGCAGGCTCCGTCCACAGAAAGGAAGGATGGTGTGTATCACCATCAATGATGTATGGGCAAGTGCAAGTTGTAGTTGGAGATGTGAATGGTTGGAACAGTGTGCTGTAACGTGCAGATGAATGGCTATAATGTCCGATCTGTGCATGCTGTTACCCCCATCTCGTCCACGTGTGAAGATCACGATGTGTTGGTGGTATGGCAGTCGTGTCATAATACTGCTTATGTAGCAGCGTTGTATCTGTTACATGCAGATTCTGTCGAATGCTGGTCCATGCCTTGGTGTTGTCGTGAGTCGTACCCTCTTGGCATCGTAGTGCTCCGGGATGGAGAGCAAAAGTACTAATAGTAACCTTGTCCACCATGCGGTCTGCTAGTTACACTGCCTTAAGTACAATAGCGCATGTGAAGTGCTGCTCAGCGTATCCCTTGTATTCAAAACCATGCGAGGGGTTGGTACCATAAACGCGGAGCTGGTAACTTCCAAAATCGGCGCCAAAGTAGTTTCCCTCAGTGGTTGCTCAAGCAAGGAATCTCTGTTGCGTAGATATCCCACGGTGATGGGTTAGGACATCTGGGAATATTATGGCGATTCCCAAATAATCCTCTCCCATTTCCAAATTAGCATTGCTGACAGCCAATCCAGTATGACCTTATGCACTTGCAGTTTAGCACGGAGGCCATTGGTAGGCATCGGTGTTTGGGCGCACATATTGGGATAGGTCTTCTGGTGCCATCATGTGTTGTCTCATTCTGTTACTGTCCTTGAAGTAGCATTGATATCGAAGATGTCTCAGCTACTCAGCATCAGTGTTGAAGTCTGCTCCATTTCGGCAAATATGGGTGTTCTTGGAGATACGCGGAGTCCACTATCCGGAGTGGCGTCGGCGCTCCATTTCACGCCTATCTGCTTCCGTTGACTTGGTGCTGGAAATGGATTGGTTGTGATGCAGGTTTTATGACTTTAAGGAAAGCCATAGGCCATGAGGACTTGTATACCGGTAGAGTACCGTTGTCCTCCCATCCTCATAAGAGCAAATATCTCTTGCTCTTGAGGGTATATGGCATTGCCATGTTAATCCCTCATATGGTGGTATTTCCTTTCCACTTGCTGGAAATCAATGTTGTGCCTAACTAGGACTTTACGATCTAGTGGAATATAATCCAGCATTATCTACGTTGAGCGGAGAATCATCCATGAATGTTGTGCCAAGTCTTCTGCTGCGGCGGCGGCGGCGGTTGCAATGATGGCGACGGCGGCAGCCGCTGCAGAGAATTCTCTTAACTCGTAATGGTTGAAGGAGAATCCATTAACTCCCTCATCCCAGTAGAGTTTTCATTATGGGTGTAGCAGGCGTAAGTACCAGGAACACGAGCATTTTGGTACACATGTGTTGCTCCATTACTGCTGCTGATTGTTTCATTTGAGGGTATGAAGATAAATTTGCTTCTCCCCTCAATGTATCCACGGGTAGCAATTCCTGGTATGCTCATCCGTGCCTCCGATGTACGGTCGGTAGAGCGCGTGATTGTATTGTACTAGTCCATATCTCCCTCATGTGTTGACACCTTGTGTTGCTTGGCATTCTCATGTATCGTCGAAGTTACGCTGATGCTTGTAACGCTTCGGCTTCTAGTAGAATCGCCTCCAATACATGTGCCGCAGGGTCGCTAGTGAACGAGTACTTGCCGGATTCGAGGTTAATTATTCCTCAATCTGTCAAGCATCGTGATATGCACGGAATGTTTTTCCACGCAGGTCACTAACATGTGGAATCGCGACGCATGATTGGGTGTCGCCTCGTGAGGTCGATGTTGAGACTTCTCCAACCAATCACTTCGGACGGCTGAGATTCTTGATGAAGACGAATCGGCCAGCTCATATTACGAAGTAGTGTCTCGCTGGCCTTGACGAGACGTGTTCACTGCGTCGTCGTTGCGTGCGAAATCTGCTCCTTCGCAGCAACTTGAACTTGGGAGCATTGCAATCCCATAGGTTGTCGATCAATTTGTATGAAGAATTGTCTCGTGGATGGAGAACATGTCTTCACGCTGCTCCATTGTTTTTCCTGGGTGAAGATCTCGCTGTGTTGATGTCGATCCATTTTTAACAAAGATGAATTCATCAAAATAAATAGATCGTTATCGACACTAGTTAGAAGATGCGTCAATTGTGCAGTCCCTGGTCACGAATGTTGTCTCCATAATGATGCTTTCCCATAGTGTTGTTTCCGCTGCATTCGTGCCGTTGCTTTCGCACCAATCCGACGATCCACGTTCTCCTGTCAGATTTCTGATTCGTGCCGTTGCTAGTCCAGATGATGTGAACGATGTCGAAGACGGCTGGTGTTTGGTTCTGCGCGTCATTCTCCATTTTTTGCAGAAATTGCGCTCCATCTCGTCCGTTGAAGCAGAAGTCTATCTGACGGTCCAAACTCCAAGCGATCTGAAGATATTCCTGAGTCACGTTCAGCAGCTTTCGGTGCCCGGGTTGACTTTGTTTCCTGCAGCAATTCTTGGTCGTCGATGTCGGCTGTCGAACGATCGGACACTCGGAAGAATTTCGCGGCTTGCGAGGTCCCGTTCCCATTCAGGTTGTAACTCGAACTCGCTCGTTATGATTTCGTTTCACCTCGGTCGATCTGAAGCATTGGACCTCCATCGGACGGATGTCGTCGGTCGCAGCTCCGCACATTTCCGCGCAGCTCCAAGAGTCGTGGCGAACTGCGAACTTCTCGGAATGTCGTAGGGGGTGTTCCGCCAGAGAACTGTCGCGTTCGCGAGGTCAAGGCCATTTGCCCCCACGGAAAAAATCGGCTCCGTCGATGCCGTCCATCGAGCTGTCGGCGAGGCATCTCGCCTTCGTAGGGGACCCCAGGTGCAACTGCGCGAGGTTTTTCGAAACTTAGAAAGAAAATGCATTGTACTTACAGGAATAGAAGTTTCGACTCCATCCTCGACGTGGGGGGCCCAGCGGTTAAGCGTTGAGCTGAAACCTTGGCTTTGATTACCAAGTGTCACTGGATCGAATGAGGTTTGCTCAATCTTGCACTATCCATGAGTGCAAGGTGCTTTTATACTTCCAAAGTACATCAGGTAACCAGGTTTATCCCCTCCAAAGGGAATAGACCCTTCTAGAAATAGAATCACCATGCGTATAGCCACGTAAGGCTATTGGCTTTATGGGATTACGGCAGGATTACGCTAGATATAGCGCGCCAGTACATCCCGAGCCTGGTCGGTGATATAATCATAATAACAGGATAAACCAACGGATAATGGGAAAATAGGAATAGGAAACCAAATCAGATGAGATAAAGACCAAATGAATCAGGATAATAAGAGGAATTAAATAGAAAGGAAATATGGAAAGGGAAAATTGGTGTAACGGTGTCGTGCTCTCACGCATGTCATCAACTGGTAGCAAGAGATAGCCACGTATAAAGATAAAAATCAATCTATCGAGTTACCCACATGGGACAACACGAGAGACGTACCAACGATATCATGGGTACGGTTCTCCAAGTAGTTGAAGAATTGGAGAAGTGTTATGCAGTGATGGTTATTGAAGTAGACGACACCGAATTGGAGCTACGCTGATTGATCGTTGCGGATGTGCATCGACTACAGGGTGCTCAACAATCAGACCATCAAGAATAAATATCATATTCCAAGGATAGGTGACCTGCTCGACCAGCTTCGAGGGGCCACAATTTGTTCTAAACTGGACCTCCGGTCAGGATATTGGCCAATTCGGATAACGGATAACTCTATCCTCAAAACCGCCTTTCGGAAGGAACCATTCTATACCAAACTCTCGAAAAGCGAGTTCGCATTGAATGAAGTTCCCTTCTTGGGACACGACGTCAGCGCATGCGACGTACACGTGGATCCCAAGAAGATCGGAGCAGTGAAGCAGTGGAAGCAGCCAGAGAACGTGAAGGAGCTTCAGCAGTTCCTCGGCTTTGCCAACTACTACAACCACTTCATCCCCAACTATGACGGGATCGCAGTACCGCTCACATAGTTACTGAAAAAAGGAGTACCTTTTTGGTGGGGGGAGACGCATACGCACGCTATAGAGAAGCTGAAACAAGCCTTAAACTTCAGCACTAGTCCTCATCCTTCTTGACCCAGATAAGGACTATGTTCTCGAAGCTGACGCCAGTGATGCAGCCGTAGGAGCAGTACTCATGCAAGATCATGGCAAAGGGTTGCAACCTATTGCATACCATAGCAAGAAATTGCATGAAGCGCAGCTGAACTACCCCATACATGACAAAGAGGCGTTGGCCATCATCCTCCCCTGAAAAAAATTGGCACTGCTACCTGGAAGGATTGACAACGCCGGTCTACCACCAACCATTGCAGCCTGAAGTACCTAAAAACACAACCGACCTTGTCACGACGTCAAGTTCGTTGGGTGGATTTCATAGAAACCCACTTCAACTACGACATCGTGTATAAGCCTGGGTAGCGTAACAAGGCTGGCGCAATTATCAGACCGCAAATCCTCGCCTCCCTCCAAGTGCAAGGGATGAACCATCTCCTCAAGGCCTCTTCCAGCACAACTACAACACTGACCCATAAATTCCAGCAGCAGATAGACGAAGACTCCTTCTATAGGGCCAAGGCCTCGTGTATAAGAAGCGTACTACGAAGCTGTGGGTACCTAAACTATGCACCCTTGAAGCAGATACTGCTAGAGGAATATCATAACACTGCATTAGCTGGACACTTCGGCAGTAACAAGACCGTGATAGACGTCGCCAAATATTACTACTGGTCAATATGGCAGCAGACATCCAGGAGTTCGTTACATCTTGTGACAAGTGCCAGTGAATGAAGAGCAGTAAGCAGAAGAATCTTGGCCTCCTCCAGCCACTGCCCATTCCTGAACAGCCTTGGCATACAGTGAGCCTGGACTTCATCACAGGACTTCCGATTATGGGAGCACGGCACAATGGAATCATGGTGGTTATTGACAAGTTCTAAAAAATGGGCCACTTCTTCGCCACGCACGCGAAATCCACTACCGAAGAAACAGCTCGCCTGTTCTTCCACCGAGTTGCTTACCTCCATGAGATCCCCAGGACTCTGATTCCTGACAGAGATCCAAAGTTCACTCGCAAGTTCTGGAAGGAACTCATGCGACTCACTGGAACACGTCTAGCGATGTCATCCGCCTACCATCCATAGACTGATGGGTAGACTGAACGATTGAACCAGATCGTGGAACAGTTGCTCAGGGTTGCCTGCATGGACGAAACAAGCAAGTCGGACCAGTAGTTACTGTATCTCTACTGGAATTCTCCTATACCAACGCTACCCACTCTGCTACAGGACAGACGCCGTTCTTCTTGTGCTACGGACGGCATCCCCTCACTCCACAACAACCTCTTGTTCCTGCTCAAGTCCAACCGGAACACGACTTCGTCACTACCATCCATCAACTCTGGGATACTACGCAAAAGCGCCTCCAGAAGGTGCAAACCTCCCAGAAAGGACAAGCGGATAAGAGTCGAAGGGACCATCAGATATAGATTGGAGACTCTATTCTGTTGGACAGCAGGAAACTTATACTTAGCCACATCCCTTATAAGCTTCGGCCTCGGTTCTGTGGACCCTTCGTCGTTGAGGCACAGGTTACACCTGTAAAATTTTGCCTTAGAATCCCGGCAACATAGAGGATTCACAATGCCTTCCATGTGCAACTCCTGAAAACCTACAAGGACCCGAATGACCTCTACTTAGGACGACAACTTCTTCTGCCTACTCCTATCACCATCAACGGAGAACCTGAGTACGATATCGAGTCTGTATGTGCTCATCGACGCCGGCGTCATGGCTACATCGAGTTCCTCATCTGTTGGAAGGGCTATGACCTATCTGAGGAGAGTTGGGTTAAGGAATCTGACCTGGGAAATGCTATCCGTGCTCTCCGATATTACTTACTCAAGCAGGGCATTACAAATACCACCCAACATTGAGGGGGGGAAATGTGAGAGCATGATATGTTTCATAGGAGAAATGACTATTTCTATATTTTCTAGATCACTAATGATTACCTAAAATACTCATTGTAATCAGCTGGAGACATGTCGTTTTCCCCTTTTACGAAACGGGTAAGTGGTAACTGAATGGTTGAAGGTTCAGCTGCAGTTGCGATTGCAACATCTGATACTGCTTCTGTTGATGTGGTGGCAGATGGTCCTGCGACAGCGACGGGGAAATTCTGCTACTCGGCTACTTCTGCTTTCGCGTCTTCCACGACGACTTCGGGTTCATCAGCTGCTAGTCCACTCATTTCGCCCCAAAGTGGAGCTGGAGTTCCTTCGAAGGTGGCGCGAGTGTTATAAAACGTTCACCAAGCGTTGGTGCCTTCATCAGCGGTATTGAACTCCCAAGTACCAAGAGCGGTAAGAACGGCAGCTGCAGTTCGAAAAGTCGTGGGTACAGTAGTTGCACGAAAATCAATATCAACTTGTTGATCATCTGTTTCTTCTGGATGATCCCAGGGACCGAGAGCGAGGACGCGGTCAGAATCGCCCGAGGTGCACTGTGCCGTGAACTGAAGAACGGATACACCATGTTGAGTAGCAGCGCGACTGAGGTAAGTGTTTGTCAAACTGTGCCATAACTCCTGATCCATTGTATCACAATTGCCTTGTGTGCGAATCTTGTGTGCCAGGAGCTGAGCTGTAGAGAGAAGATTGAAACCAAGGCCGGCGATAATAAGAACGTTGGTAACATGTAAGGAATATCCCGTGTCGACGGACTCGAACATTACACTCCCGATTGATCTGGCCATGATGGTTTTTCCGTTTGCAAATGTTACAGGTATCGGACGACGAAGTGGTTGCTGATTGGTGATGAAGCTTGTTTCAGCGGAGCACATATGCCAACCACAACAGCTGTCGAGATACCAAGTATTGGGTCCTGAAATGACTCGAGCAAGGTTAGCGTAAACTTGCGGTAAGGGAATGCCCTCTGCACTGGTGGTTTCTTCAAGTTGTGTCTCGAAATCGGTATCTGAAACATCAACTGTCGTAACACATCCAAAAACTCCTTTGCCTGATGTTGCAGATGGAAAAACTGGAGGACGATGCTGTAATGAAGGTGTATTCTGCGGTGGTTTCTGCATCTGCTGCGTCTGTGATGTTGACTGCTGCGTTGGCGGATGTGACTTCGATAACTGCTGCAATCGATGATACGGTTGCGAAGAACTGCGACGGTTTTGATGTCGACTGCAACAAGTTTGGTAAGTATGTCCTGGTTTCTTGCAGAAATGACAGAAGGGATACTTCGGGGGAAGCCGTTGCTGCGGCTCTGGATTTGAGTAAAAAATCAATTGTACCTCCTTTTCCTAATTGCGCTGTGACTGCAGGTCAAGATCTTGCTGTTCTGCTTGAAGATACGAAGAAATGTCGGCTTCGGAGAGATTCGGGTTCATGCGCAAGAAGGCGCGCGTCTGTCGCCACTCGGGACCAAGTCCAGCAAGAAGGACCGTGAGATACATCTCACGAGGAAAGTATCCACCACTCTTCTCCAATTGATCTCGTAGTGTGCGTACACGATTGACGTAATCCATGACATTCTCGTTGGTCATCATCTGCATTTTTGTCAGCTGCGAAACAATCTTACTCACTGTGATTGTATCCTTTGCCATGTACACCCCCTTTAAGTAGTTCCATGCGGTTTTAGTTGGCGTAAAGCTGGAATGAAAAGATCGAACGCCGAGTTGCTCCTTTGCTGATAAGTTTCGAACGAGAACCGTATACGCCCCGAGAGAGGCGTGCAAGAAACTCTGCTACTCCAGTTGTGTTCCCGTAACAGGATATGTGAACTCGCCGGTGAAGAACGGCCATAGCCCGGCAGACTGCGCCAGAAGTTCAAAATCGAAGCTCCAGGAGTAAAAATCAACTCCGTTAAAAGGTATAGTGGTCTTAATCTGTGTGCTGTTAAGCAAATTCGGCAGCTGAAAAACAATACCCTGTTGTTGAGGCTGTTCCTGTTGTTGAAATTGCTGTGGATGTTGCTGCTGTTGCTGCTGATGCTGCTGTTGATGCTGCTGTTGTTGTTGCTGAGCAGGTGAATGCCCGAAGATGTAAAAGGGGTGCTACTGCTGAGACTGCGGCTGCTGAGTAAAAGGTGAGAATGCAAATGAGCCAGTACTTGGAGTTGGAGCTCCACGCATGTAACTTGAACCGTCAAGTCTCATTCCACTAAACGCCGATGATATTGACCGAGTTGAAAACTGCTGTGTTGTTGCCTGTTGTTGTGCTGTTGCCTGTGTTTACTGTTATTGCGCTGCAGGGGCAATCGATGAAGTCCCTGGAGTATTAACAGAAGAAGGATTTTGCTGCTGCTGCTGCATACCGATGTGCGCATAAGCCGGTGGAAACGGTGAAGAGGCTGAGAGATCAGTGGCAATCGAGGAGACAGATACTCCAATAGTTCCGAAAATAGATCCGGTAGATTGTGCTGGTGTTGTTCCAGTCATTGTTGACAGTAGTCTTAATCCTAGACAGCTCTCATACCATGTAATAATTTGACAGGTGTAGCAGGAGACTAAGTATAGAATCTGCAAACACGAACACTTGGAAAACCTCAAGTGTTAGCCTAGGATCTTTACTGGAATGGTAGACTAGTAAGACAGCGGAAGTCTTAGAACTTTTAGAGAAGTAACCAGAATTTACTGAAGAAGAAGTTCAGAATCAAGTCCTGAATCCAGGCCCCCAAATTGGTTTTGGGCTTGTCTGATTCATCAGACTTGCCTGCCATCTCTTGGTATGGCCTTCAGAGTCGCCCCTTAAAAAAAGTCTGAAAAATCAGAGTAACAATAATTTATTTGTCTGATTAATCAGAGTTACCATTGTTTTTAGCTATGATTTCAAAGTTACTGTTTTGCACGTTACTTTTCCATTCCCTTCCCAACCGCTGCCCCTCAGACTTCTCCCTTGAGGGGCTTTCGCTCGCGTGCGCTACCTATCTGTGTTCTGGCGGCGGCGCGGAATTTCGCGGCGCCCTAGGCCCGGCCCCGCGCCGGTGCG